TTATATATAGACGGAATTACAGTTTTATACGACACTTTTTCAATGCCAGAAGTTTAACTCCTTACAGCCCATCTGCTTTAACAATTAGTAACTCATCATTTTGTGCTGTATTTATTGGTTTAGTATGATAATCAGTTAATCTTTGTAATAGGGAATGTTGTGTTTTCTTTGAGGTAGGGCCAAATTTTTACAAATTAGGCCTATTTAGATGAACTTCAGGCTTCAAAGGATAAGGAGAAAGCAACCAAACTGGTTTAAATCTCGAAGAATAAAAGCAAAATTTATGAACCTAGTTTTTTCAGTGAAAAACTGTACTCAAACATAAATTATGGCGACCGATTAATAGTTAGTTTAGGCCTTCTATTACCACTACTGATACATTTATGGAATTTTTAAGCCAGAATAAATTAATAAGTGTTCATGAGACATCACTTTAGAATTTATCCATCACCCCGATTATACAGGATGATTCAAAAGGTTAGGGCCAAACTGAAGGAGCGTATAGAGGGACTCAGATAGAACAACTTTCGAATAGGAATCCATATCCTCCGAAGTTATCCTGAATCAGTCGAGGCCTTTGAAGGTAGGGAAGTCTGATAACATACCGCTAAAATAATCGCAGCCTAAGGGCCTCTGTAGAATCTGACGGGATACGTGTAATTTAAAATTAAGCTAGTAGGAGAATAGCAGAGTACGATTATTTCAGCGTTATGTTATCAGACTTCCCTACCTTCAAAGGCCTCGACTGACTCAGGATAACTTCGGAGGACATGGATTCCTATTCTAAAGTTGTTCTCTCGGAGTCCCTCTATACGCTTTTTAAGTTTCGCCCTAACCTCTTGAATCACTCTGTATAAGACAATACTTCAGAAACTGGAAGGTCGTGTCACTCTATATTTATTCGTTTGTCCGTCTGTAATTTCGTGTGTTTAAGGCCGAAACTACTAAATGGGGTTTCGTCAAATCTGGTGTTGGTGGGCTTAAACTAAACGATGTACATAGGGCCCTAATATTGATACGTATCTGCCCGTTATGTAAATTAGTTTTATGAAGTTTAACTCTAACTTCGAAATTTTTCTTTAAAGAAGCTTATTTTTCAAAAAAAGCATACACGCATAATATTCATAGCATAAAATACAAAGATATTTAAATAATGCAATTTTGGGTAATAGAAATTCTCGATTTTGTAACCAGGCTAGAAGCGCTATTTACAAAAGTATAATACAAGGGAAACATGTGTGATTTCTGTAGCGTAATAGCCTATCAATAGTACGATGCCTCTGTAAGAATGTACTTCTGGCCGCGATACCTGATTTCTAATTGCAATAAACGAACGAGACAAATGCATAAATGTAAACATCTCATTTCAGAGTATTCACTGGGGAACGTGTATTCATTCTCATTATAATGTGCTTGAAGAGATGATAATGTAACGCTTTACTAAATTAGTCTATAGTGTCGAGGCAAATTTGCAAAAGAATTTCTAGAACCGTTTAATGACGCTCATTTGCACAAACACGTCACTCAGCTGCGTAGAGAGTGAAGCCAAAACTCCTTGCAACCTCGAGCGGTGCTTCTGTGGCACCCAGCAGACAAGGATTTTTAACAAGTTCCTAAAGAGCTGTGTGTTTGAAAGACAAGAATGACATACAAACGTACAAGACATGAGACACAAACACGTCAGAATTCTTTAGACACAGCAGTTTATTTAACAAGACGCTGTCAGTGAGTCCGAATATTTAGAGCCGAATGATAGAATGATTGTTGAATAGTGAATTGAAAAGGTTATGGAAGGAGGTGGTCGTGGTATATTAAAAAAATTATTGTGACACTTGCCTGGAAGGACTGGGGGGAGCTAACAAAAACCTCAATCAGTGTCTTTTGTCTTTGTGTCGAGTTCTTCATCCGAGACCTCCTGAGTACGAACCAGGAATGACTGTGACATAAAAGAAATAACAATTATCTTTAATAGAGAAGAATTTAGACACGTTAGAGACGTGTTTTGCGAACTTCTAACATGCACTGAAATTCTTTAACGAAGAAGTCGCAAATATCATATCTTTGTTAGTTATGTAAAAATAACTCTTGCCCTAGTGTATCAGCTTGCAAGAATCGAGCAGGAGAATGACAATGACAGTAATGAATCTATATTTCTGAAACAAACGTTTAGCGAACTGAGGAAATTAAATTTGAAGTTAGGTTTAGTAACTGTACGATAGTTTACAAATTACGAGTGTAACCTTTATTTGAAACACTGTTCCATACGGGACATCCTATGCTTAACTAGATGGCCGAAATGAAGAAACATGGATAAAAGTAATGACAATCATTTATTTAGTTCCGCTTTGTTCAAAAGCTACCGCAGAAGGGCAGGCACCAAGGCTTTGCTACGCTTACGTTTTATAAATACAGAAAACAAGGCTCACGACAAGCAATTCTGTTGTCTGTTTCGACAGCGAACAAACCAGAGCTGTCTGGCTGCCGGCCTCCCTCGTAGCAGCTGCAAGACAAAGTATGAAAGTGGAGACTAGAGCCATCTATGTTCCGTTAAACGTATCAAAACAGACCATCAATGTGCTTAACCCATCATCCCAGTACCAAGACCGTATCATCATAAATGACCTCTCTTTGTTCGACAAGAAAATTTATGACTGGACACTTCAAAATGTGAGATACAAATAAGAAATGCATGCAATGGAATGAAGAAAATAAATGGTTTCGGTAAAGCATTTAAAGCGATGGCTTTATTTTGTAGCCCGCCCACGGCATAGAACATAGAAGCTTTATTCCTAACACATTTTATACAAGAGAATAAGAAGAAACAAGTTAGGCTCAGTCTGTTCAATGCAAGACTTGATTCGGTATATTATGATTCTTCTTACGGTGGTATGAGATGTCTGTGGAACTTCGGTCGCTAATGGGCCCACTGTTCATCCTAAAGATCGACATGATATCGATAGAAGAAAATCGAAAGAATCTTTGACACTTTTTCAGCAGAATGTCCCATCCACGTGGACTGTCCCAGAAGTGATTCTGGGTCTCTGCGATGAAATTCAAGCGACTAAATAGCCCGTGTTTTGGTACGGTCTGAGAATAAATTCGTGATTCAACTACTGTAAGGACAGAGCACAGCCGCTTGTAATCCCACTCACGTAATTTCAGAGAAGTGTCTAATTCTATCACAGAAAATTGTTTCCACCCCGACTCCGAACCTCACTCAAGAAAAAAATTACATATCTGTCCATTATAAAATAAAACAAATTTTACGTGAATGAAACGGCTGCAAAGCAAATGTACGTAAATGGTTCTTCGCATGACGCAGTAACGAGATCGGCAGTTGCGTGTGTGTGTGTGAAGTGTCGATTAATGTCTACTCCCGCTTATCGTCTTTTAATACGTTATTTGGTACAGATTCGACTTAGCAGTTTCAATCCACTAATTGACTGCGAAATTTGTGAACGAAAATGGGCAATGAGATTTATGAGTGAATATGAATTATGAATGGGTGGAGTCTGCAAGGCTGCGGCCTACAAATTATACTTCGCTGGCCTTCACCTACAAGAACTGAATAGCCAAGTGAAGTTGTATAATCAAGGCCACCGCAAGACTAGAGCCGTTGAAATTGTGTCTACACAATTTATAGCCTATACGACTCGAGTGTAGGCAAAAGAGTAAATGGAGAACAATTTAAATTCAAAAATAAAAGTGTTAGTGTGATGGTTCATAGGAAGTAATTACGTTTGATCATAAAAACTAAAGTCAATACTAACAAGTGGTAGACTGTCTAGGTTCAAATCTCGAAAGTGAATTTCATATTACGCTTCGCCACAAAGCATACATCCTGAAACAGCCCTCGGACCATCCTCTATAGCAGTACTAGAAGCTCCTTCAACGGGAATAAACAATCGAAGCTAACAACTAACCTATAGCATAGTGCTTATAATATATGGATGTTTACCTCCACGTCTGCGTTATGCCTTCAGTGTTCGCTGCTTGGGCGTAAAAGCAACTGCACATTCCACAACATGGCGGAAATACGTCTGCAGGTTATTAAGATCCGCGCAAGTTAGTCATGGGAGAGTATATTTAAATTGGCCACGACAGTTTCTTTCCAGATCACGGCTTTTTAACTTCATCTTATTCTTCTAATATTCAGCAAATGAATTAGTGTCGTTGAATAATCTGCGACTGAATCAAAACCACTATTGAATTTGTACTTTTTATCTTTGTTTAAACCCTCAGTGATAACAGACCAAGCGGAATGTGCCCTGTTGGGCGCTGGACAATATATCGCGCAGAGTGAGGTTTCAGGTTCTTACAGCATCGAGCATGAAGATGGCTGTCTTCTGGGTTATTACTCATCACCCTGATGGTGGAGGCACCAAGCATCTCTGAAACGTCGGTAAGCTTCTCCCACACTACACTGTGCAACAACACAGAAGAGAAATGTCTTCAATAACATGATGCTCTTTGCCACTGAGCAAACGGGCAAAACTATTCAAAAGCCAAATGCGTGAAAATACCGCGTATTGTCTGTAAACCAGACTCATTGTTAAATGTGTCTCTTTGCCACTGAGCAAACGGGCAAAATTATTCAAAAGCCAAATGCGTGAAAATATCGCGTATTGTCTGTAAACGAGACTCATTGTTAAATGTGTGAAACAAATGAAGATTTCTGTCTTCTGGGTTGTTGCGCTGTGTAGTCTGGGCGATG